TTGTTAGTAAAATTAAAAACTTTTATATATAAGGAAAAATACATATTTTACTAATTATAATTAGTAAAAAATTTAAGTGTTGCATTATTTTTGATTGCCACTATATTATTTTACTATAAAAAAATTAAAATAAAATTATTTTTTAAAAAAAAGATATTTTAAATATTATTATAATTAATTTGTATTGCTAGAACTTAAATTATATAAGTAGATTGCTCTAGATTTAATAAATATTTTAAATTGTATAAAAATTGGATTAATAGTTATAAAAATATTAAAATTCAAAGTTAAGTAATTAAATTATTTACTATATAATATTAATTTTAATTAAATTTTATATAATAAAATTTAAGAAATAATAATTAAAAAAAGTTATTATTAATAAAAAATTTTTTTATAAAGATATATAATAAAAATTTTTATATTTAAATAAATTCTAATTTCTAATAATCTAATTAAATAAGACAGAATTAAAATTTTATTTTGAAAAAATAATCTATTAATATTTATCTGAGGTATAAATCTTTTTGCATCAATCTATAAATTATAATATATAAATAAAAACTTTTAAGTTAAAATCTTTTTATTTAAATTTTTTAATTATTTAACTATAATATTATATTATTAATTTGTATTATAATTATTATAAAAAGTAGTAATAATTATATTTTTTGTCAAAATTTATCAATATCTTAACAAGAAATTACTCAAATATCATAAATATTTTACATTATATTCTTTAGAATAATAAAAATAAAATTTTCTAAAATTATAAAGCATATTAATATAGTAATATTTTACAGAATTACATATCAAATATAATAAATCTGTGAGCTATCCTAGTTAAAGAGATATAAAAAATTATTTATAAATATATTTTTATAAATAAATATGAAAATAATTTTATAAAAATATATTTAAAGATATAAAAAATATTTTTTAATTTAAAAAAATTTTTAATTAATATTTATTAAATAAATATAGTCAACAAAGGCTTAATTTTAATAAATTTCATAATAAAATATAATAAAAATAATATTTTTATTATATTTTATTATGAAATTTATTAAAATTAAGTCTTTTTTAACTGGTATTTATTTAATAAATATTAACTAAAATTTTTTTAAATTACAAATATTTTTTTTATATCTTTAAATATATTTTTATAAAATTATTTTTCATACTTACTTATAAAAAATAATTTTAAATAATTTTTTATAGTACTTTAACTGGAATAATCATCCAGTTTATCATTTTTAGCATGTGATTTTACAAAATATTACTATAGTAATTCACTTTATAATCTTAAAAAATTTTATTTTATCATCTTAAAGAATATAATATCAAATTTTCATAAATTTTTAGCAATTTTTTATTAAGTTATAGATGAAAAATATGTTTATTATTACTTTTTTATATTAACTATATTAAAGTAAGAATAATAATATTATTTAATTATAAGAATTAGAAATTTTTTAGATTTAAAAAGTAATATAATACTTAATATATTTTTAAATTAATTATTATTAAAAATTTATTATATATATAATTTTTAAAGATTTTTAGACATTATTTATTTAAAGCTAATTATAATTTAAGCTTTAATATAAATAATATTTTTTTAATAAAATTTATTATAAAAAAATTAAGATTCAATAAAGATTAAGCTCATATTATTGAAAATAATATTAAGTAATTTTATTATTTTATTATAGATAAAATTATTCATTATATTACAAAGAATATATTTATAAATTTTGATATAATTCTAAAATCTTTTTATTAAATAGTTAATAAAGATATAAAATTAGCTATATTTATAGTTGTTTTTAGTTTTATAATTTAATAATATTTTTAATAAGATATTATATCAATATATTTTAAGTAACTTTATTTTTCATATCAAAAGTCATACATTTGAAAAATTTCATGAAATTCTATTTATTTTTTCTTATATAATTGATATATAAATTTAAAAATTCTGAATATTTATAATAATTACTATAGATATAAAAATTAATAATAAAGAAGTTCAAGTTAATATGTTTATTTATAATATATAATAAGTAAATATTAAATTTATATATATCTATTTATAGTCATATTTTTTTATAATTATTTTTTAATTATTAATTTTATAGTTAAAAATCTCTTTATAATTATATCTCTTTATAATTATCTAATTTTCAAGTGTGATAACTATAAAAGATTAACTGAATTAGTTTAATATTGGTAATATTACATAATTAGATCAAAATTCTGGATATTTATATTAATTATTACAAATTCTAATTTAAATAAACTTTAATTTCACTCTAAATGAACTTATAAATCTGGATTTTTTTACATTTTGAATTAATTTAATTTGTTTAAAACTTTTAATTCTTACAAATAGCTTTATTTTATATATATAAAATAAAATACTAAAATATATAATATAAATAATTTGTATAAACTTGGTCAAATTTGCAAATCTTTGAGTTGGATTGATCTACTATATTACTCTGCTTTAAAATTATATAGCTTGAAATCGTAAGATAATAAAATAAAAATTTGATTGGATATAAGTTATAGAAATTTCAAATCGACATTTTTTTGAGAGATAACTTGCATCTTAATCTACTTTTCATGGAATATTACATGTATTATCAAATTAAATTATGCAAAATTTTAAAAGTTAGAACCGGAAAAAAAGGGAATCACGTAATCTACAAAAATGTAGTGCCCACCTCGTTATTCTTGCTTCCAGGAAGAATATTCTATAAACCCGAGATTAGAATAAAACCATTGAGCATATCGATGTTAAACTAAAACATTCGTAACATACTTTTAGGGATTTTATTTCGATGTTTATTTGATAAAAAGAATTTTTTCGATATGTATGCTTATATTTATCTTATATTTACATATATTTTAATTTCGATAACAAAAGACGAATTAGTATCTATTTACAACTCAGAGTAGCTCGATTGGTCCGGATTAGCCAATTGGATTGCTTTGATACCGGTCAGTCGATTGGTTGTGTGCGTTATCTTATTAAAGATGGTTTTCTAGTGATTGCACATATTGCCGCTTACATTTGCACTCGTTAAACCGAACTCCGTTAAACCGAAGTTAATTCCGGGAACAGTTATAATAAATCTCTCTCGATAAACTGAATTTACTAAATAAACCTCGATAAACCGAATTTTTTAAATTTTTTACTACATGTAATAGCACCGACCACTTCGGTTTAACGAGGTTTGACAGTACTATACATGTTACGTTCTAACAATTGCAATCGCATGCACCACAATCGCATGCACCACAATCGCATCCTCCACAATCACATGCTCCACAATCGCATGCTCCACAATCACATGCTCCACAATCGCATGCTCCACAATCGCATGTATCGCAAACACAAAAGTTGAAAGAGTCGTAAGAATTATTGTTCGTTTCTCCCATCCACCAACACCAGAAACAACAACTATTATCACAACTATTATAGCTGTTACAGCTATCACAAGTCTCTTTACATGGACACCAGTAAATAAGAATTCGAATAACAATGATAAATGCTATTGCACATAATGCTATCAACAGAGTATCATAAATGTTGGGTTTATTGTGTGTCTGGTGTGATTTTCCATGTGAATTTCCAAGTGATTGTCCAAGTGATACTCCCAAAAAGATGAAGTATATTATGAATAAGATATCTGCTCGTCCACTTCGTTTTCTTATTTCGCCCTTTGTCAAAGGGATTCGTCCAAATAAAAAATACGCATCTCTACCAACTGTGTAAGGAAGGATTTAGAGCAACGACAAAGAATAAATGTGTTTTAACTTAGTTAATAAACATCACTTACGTAAAGAAGTTAATAATATAATTGTGAATCTCATATGTCCATGGACTAATTTGAATATTCTTCCTATTTGCGAAAATCTAGCAAACATTTCTAATGAAACAAATGCTACAAATACATACTTCACCCAACCGTATGGTGCATACTAAAAATTGGAATAACGAAGACAAATTAAAAATAAAATCAATTACATGTACATTTACAATATAGATCAAATGATGACACCTTACCCCTGCAAAAGCGTATTTAATAAGAAAACAGCTACCAAGTAACATTGCACAGTTAAAAGTAGCCCAAAAACTCCATATGAGAACATTTCCACAAGATTTTTGTCGCATCGGCGATTCATCATGGGTAAATTTTAGACGCGAATCAATCTCGTCGGAAGGAATAATTGGTTGATAAATTTCATTTCCAGACGAAGATATTTCAATGTTTACATGAGCCTCATTCGAAGAAGGATTTGTTGTGTACGCTGGTGGTGGTATTGGTTGCGGTTGAGTTGTTGTGAAATTGGGTGGTATTGGTTGTGGTTGAATTATTGTAGTATTATTGTTCGCTGTCGCTGGTAATGAATTTCGAATACTTTCGTATGTTGGTGGAGGAGAATCAATATTATCAATATTATTATTAATGTAATCTCGATTATGTTCCATTCTTGAGTGAGTACGTGTATTTATTCTCTTTTTATAGGAAAATCAAAAATTTATTTAACACAATTCCAGTTATTTTACGCACCCGAGACCCTCTTTCCTTTTATTATCAATCTTGAATTCTATAGAGAAGTGGGAGGCTTAGAATTGATATTAATTATGGTAATTTGTGTAACAGGCTTAGTTAATATTTGTATAGATCAATGACGAATGTTACATTTACGTCTAATTGGCTGCAATCTGAAGATTTAGCGAGTAACACATATCTATTTATAAATTTTTTTTTTGAATTACTATTTCATCATTTGTATTACAAGCATCAAAAAGAAAGTGTCGAGAGAAATGTTCGAGATTTTTAACCTTGTACAAGTCAACCTCTAATTCATCCTGGCTAATTTGGTCATCATAGAAGGTTAATTTTTCCAGTTATTATGGAATTATCCTGGCTAATAAGGATGTTTCATCAAATGAAGTGCATTGATCGATTAATTAACTGCGAAAAATGAATGTTTATACATGTACCTTACTTTCCTGCAAACTTCTCTTTATTGTCCAAAACGATAATGGCATTAGTTGTTTCAATGCACGTGTATCATTTTCATAATTACGCAAGCTATAAACCTTTACTTTTCGAAATGGAAAAAGAGATACATGTAATCATTAAATTCGCTAACGCTAATAAACAAATTCTAATGATTTTCAATCAAAATATTCTCTATGGAAATAATCAATTGGGGGGCTAACCATTTATATGTATACTGTAAATGATAAAATAAATCATTTCATTGGCCTCGAAGGAGACATAATAACTGCAAAATGCGTGCTTATCTCGTGCCTATATTTGCATTATAAGAATTAAGTGAATACATACATGTACACAATAAATAGCTACAAAAATGTTTCAATGTGAACGATGAATACGCTTTTTGAATAATATTCATTGACAATAACAAATGTCAATTCAACTAAAAAAAATTCTATTTATCTTCTAAAGTAACTTTCTTAAGAAATTTCATAGTAGATAGATTGTTTCTTACTTTCTTATTTAAGAAAATTTCATAGTAGGAATATAAGAAAATTTTAAATAAAATCAGAGACTGTAATACATGTATATCGAAATTTCTCCTGAAATTATTGGGCTATTTATGATTCGAGGCTTAAAAGATGCACAGCTCAACAAATAATACAGTATTACTTGATTTGATCTGGCTTTGACGGTATTGAAGTGAATGAATTCCGTGCTTTAAATAAATGTTTCATTTTCTAAATAAATTAAGAGATAAAAGCAAAATAATAAATATTCAATCAAAATAGAGCTTTGCATGAATATATCAGAATTTAAAAGTAATATTAAATTTTTACTATATCCATTCGATATGGCCTGTTCAAAAAAATTAAAAACGTAAAGATATGATTGTTTTTTTTAATAAGTTGAACAGAGACTATGATGAGTTTTCTGAATGGAAGTTTATCAAATCTGCATTTTGTTTCAAAATCTATAGAGTTAATTAATTGTTTTTTTAGAAGCAAACTTTTTGCTTGAAAGTATTCAACTTTCAAGAAAGCTAAATTTTAAGAGTTGGATAAGCTTCTGATTTATTAATATAATTATATACGTTACGTTTTATAAAAATTACACTGATATTATATTATTTATATATATATATATATATATATATATAAATTATTATTTACCGTAAAACCGCGAAATAACGAGCATGGGCGTTATTTTGAAACCAACTGTGTTATGTTTATAAGGGTGCATTTTTCGAAATAACGCCCATGCTCGTTATTTCGCGGTTTTACGGTAATTTTAAAGAGAAAATTAATTCTCTTTTCAAATTTCTCTTAATATGAATATCTAAATTTACAATTTATGTGCTGAATGTAATAAAAATCTATTAAAATTTATAATAAATTATTTAAATTTTAAGATTTTTTAGGTTTATTTCTAAAAATGCAAGCAAATAAAGTTTTATTTTATTAAAGAAGAATAAAATAAATACATGTATGAGTTTTGAATACAACTATATTAAAGAATTTAGTTTATATTATTCTTTTTGAAAATTTAATATTGTATCAAAGTAGTATCAATCTAAAATACATATAAAAATAGTTAATATAATTATAAGCTATATATAAAAGAAATATATATAAAATAAAATATTAAAAGAATATCAAAATAGATATTTCAATTTCTGATTCTTAATACAAGTTTATGAAAAAATCGAATTGAACTGATAAATATAAATAATTGAGAAAAGAACAAAAATTCAGAAATAAATTATTAAATACATATTTTCTAAGAATCATTCATGATTTAATAATTAAGTAAAAAAGTAAAACAGGAATTATTGTATAATTTCGATAAACATTATAAAATCAGTTTATTTAATAACAAATACTTAATATTTTCTAGACTAAGAAGAACGGGCTAAAGAAACAAATTTTTAGAATAAATGACTTATTCAGACTTAGATAATCCAAGCATGAAAGGCAGTGGAAAATGTATTTACAGCAATTTATCAAAAAAATTTCCGATTTATCCAAGAATAGAACACATTTTGACTCATTACGATTGTTTATCAGATAAAATCAATAACGATAATCATCCTAACCTGGAAATCAATCACACTTTCTGCCGAAGCTATAAAAGGCAGTAAGTGGGTCCGTACAACGAATTGGGTTGTACATAACAGAGAATTTATTATTATTATTATTCACACATTAAAAATGTCCACCATTTCTACAGCAGCAACATTAGTTCATTCTTCTTCATTCACGCCAAAATGTTCCTTCGAGTACACGATAACTGATTGGAAAAAATATTCGACACCTTGTTATAGTCCTCCTTTTGGCACTTTTTATGACTTGTTTTGGCAACTGAAATTTGTCTCGGTAAGAGAAGAGATGATATTAAGAATGTGAATTATTTTTAATTTGATTATAAAAGATTAATTTTATTTAAAACACGCACAACATATGTTTTTGTTTACGGGATCGACTCGGCAATCATTAAACTATATATAAGACGGCACATGATTATCCTAGGCAGTGTTCAGTTTATTTATGGGCGGTAGCTAATTCTGAGGAAGAAGGTCTCGAGATCACTTGGTCAAGACGTGCTTCGGTAAAAGCTAAATTGTATCTCAAAAACCCAATCACAAATCTTGAAATACGTGGACGAACACTTTCGAGAATGGACGAATTCTCAGCTAAATGGCCTGGTCGTGGTAAATGTTCAATGGAATTTATATGAGATATTCAATAAATTGTAAATTCATTTTTATTTTTCCTATTGAAATAGGATTTAATGCGTTCTGTTCAAAATCTGAGCTTCCTGAATGCGATTTAATAATTGGAGTGCAATTTTCAGAGAATGAAATGAAATCCCAAGCCATGCAAATACCACTTCCCATCAATCCACTACCCAAGAATTTGATCGATGCTTGGGCATCACAACTGGAAAAACCAGAAATGTCAGATATTCGATTTGACGTCAAAGGCGCGACATTATATGCCAACAGTGACATACTCTCGCAACGATCAGAATACTTTCAATTGTTAATACAAGAGCAATGGGCCGAATGTAAAGCTAGCTGTTTACGATCCCCCCTTTCATCCCGACCTATATCACAAAATTTTTCTTGTACTTCACAAAAATCTGAGAATCAACATCATCTTTTCCAATATAATGTTCGAATTCCGGATTTCGAGCCAGAGACATTTGCCGAAATGCTTCGTTATTTGTATACGAACGAAGTGAAATTCGGTAGCACTGGATCAAAAACTGATCCACTTTCAATGTTTTGCATTGCAGACAAATATCTTATAATGGAATTGCGACAACGTGCCAAAATTGCTGCTTTAAAAGAAGTCAATATTGAGAATGTTGCTGAAGGATTATTCAATCTCGCTTGGAAATGGCCAGAATTAAAAGAGTACTATATGAAATTGATATTAGAAAATTTCACAGCCGTACGAAAAACCGCTGGGTTCATTAAAATAATGGCTAACCCCTCTCTATATGAGAATTTTACAGAATTAATTCTCGAAATTCTTGAATCACTTTCTCCTTTACCCGCAGATTTGGAAAAAAGCAATGCACAATAATGAATAGTATTTCGTATCTTCATAAATTGCTAATTAGCAAATATTTTAGTCTTCTTGTGTGTGATTTGTAAAAGCTCCTGTAATAAAACGCAAATTAATTTCCTAAAAAAAAAAGTTGTAAATCAGCTTTACGAATACGTGCAATTTCATCATGTACAGGGTGCCCGAATCAAAAAGATTGGTTGTATAACCTTTTGAATTCGTTGATGCTCTTAACAATCTCTTTATTTGATATTTGAACAAAAAAAAAGAAGTGGAGAGTAATAAAGCCCAAGCTAATAGATAAAATGGTACATAACGATAAATTGTCTCTAAATTTTATGAATCACATCAATCAATTTCATCAACTTCGGTAACGATTTACAGTATCTAACAATGTAATTTTCGGCTTATCGTTATTAATTCTATTCACTTTAATTCAGATAGAAAGCTTTGCATGATGTTTAATTACTATTTGAAGAAAAGAAATACTACTTCAGAAATGGTAGTGCAAGTATGAAAGAACAGGACAAGCTTAATTAAATCAAATCAAGGAATTCGAATTCCAAAAATCAAAGCTTTTCCGATATCCAATAAATATCCTAATGTTTCATCAGCTATCGCTATGCATTACTAGTCTTGGTCTTGTGTTTACTATGTTTACTGAGCTCCATTGAATTTCTGCTAAAATTGAAAGTTGATCTGTGAGAAAAGTTTATGCATACGAGAGAACAATCTGGTTTAACACCACCAAACATCTATAGATTGTTTTTGTCGGTTGCTAAACAAACAGTAATAATTAACTTGAGCATGTTTTATAATTACAAAAAGGGGTTAACGAATACGTTATTAAATGAAATTGCTTAAGTTAAAGGATATATTAATGGTTACACATGTTTAAATTAAATACATGTTACCCACATAACGATAACGATACATTTAATAACGATAGATTTTCCCTCCCCCCTTTGTGTTTACATACATGAAACAGTTCACTCTTTTTACAAACGTGATCGTGGTCATAGTACATGTATATCTAATACAAGAAACACTACATGTTTATTAAAAAAATTATTGTTATTTCAAGTCTGTCTTGACAGCGTGAGAAAGAAAAAAGCGTGAGAAGGAGAAAATACTAAATATTTATGCTTTACAACAATTTAATCGGATCAATCGCATAAAGTTTTGATATACATGTAATTACCTCTCTAGTTATCCATTTTGCTTTCCTTTTTTAGGTGTAGATAACTTGTCTGAACCTTTAGCATTAAAATCTTTTTTCTTAAAGATTTTTTTGCTATATGTTTAGGTAATTAAAAGTTTCTTCTGATAAATCGTCTGTTTCTTTAGGTCTTCGTAGATTTGCCAATACATTCCTCAGATGACAGGTCCTCTTCTAAACCCAAACTTAGTATGTTGATTTTCAGTGCTATATAAGTTTTGGTTCAAGCTTTGATTTTCATATGTTGTAATTGGAGAAAGATAAAAACAGGTAGCGAGAAAAATCAGTGGATTCGTGAGAAATAAAGTAAATATTATTACTCTAGACATATGTAAATATATATATATATATGCTCTCTCCATTTGATTCATGTGCATTTTTTATTAAAAAACAACTTTCATAATTTTCAAGTCAAAGAATGGTAAACACATAATAGATTATTATTTTTGAAAAGAATTTTGTTATTGAGCATGTTCCCTTTTCATGTAAGCCAAATCTCTCTAAATGCTCTCTCTCTCTAAATGCACACGCTAAGTGCGCATTCTTATTCTATAAAGTTCATATTATATTTAACTTGTCTATATAAGGCTCATTTATACGTTAGTGCGCATCACCAATAAAATTTCGTTTCAAATTATCTCTAGTTTTTTACAACACAAGTATAGTCAAGATTTGTGATGTTCTTGCAAAAAAATGTGATATTTTAAGTTCACACATATACATGTCGGTCCCCGTGGTGTGCTTTAGGGAAAGTTGACTGTACTTGTTTTTTTACAATTCAAATTTATGGTTTTATTATCATATGTCCTAGTATTCTCCTTGCAATATGATAATGAAAACTCTATTGAAAGAACTCCCTCGAGTTAATTCACAAATCTAATGGCTGCTCCATCTTATGGTATATCTTTGACCTTAGGAGTAAAAGAAATCGGCCACAATTGTTGTTTCAGACTTAAAATATAGAGAGATAACGGGAAGTAATCAACAGACACTTTAAAAGCAAGCATCTTCGACACGGCGTTGAAAGCACATAGTTCTAAATTAAGGCTACAATCTTATTTAGACTTTCCCGAAAAACTCACCGGGCAATAGTGTACGCGGGGAATTTTTCTCCGGATTGTGGTTATCTTTTATAGGTTTTACTATCGCTATTGGCCAATTAATGTATTACATGTACGCTTATCGTTATCGTTATAAAAGAAATACCAATAGTCCGTAGTTATTACATGTACATATATATTCTTTAACCCTTTTTTTCAATCATGACTGGTGAGGAAAAAATTACATTTGTTTCTTTTTTTTTAACAAACAAAAAAATAATGATAATATGATAATGATAATAACAAGTTTCTATTTTTACATAAAAAGATAATAATGTAAACCAGCAAAATCTCGATAATACCAGCAACAATACAAATAATAATATAATATCAACTGACAAAACTTTGCAATATGAACAAAATTTGATGATTCTTCCAAAACAAGCGGAAGCAAATGCTCCAGAAGATAATAGTAAAAATGTTGATGATGATAATCCACCGCTCGCTCCAAACAATTGGACAAGCGGAACTCGTAGTACTTATAAAAGCAAACGTCCGGGATATTATCCAGATCAAGGAATTCCTGGATGTATTAATTGGTGTTTTGGCTGTTGTATCGGAACTTGCGCGAATTTTTGTTGTGCTTTTTTATGTTGTTCACAATACTGAAAGATTTTTATTGAAGGTAGAGAGAGATATCGAATATTTTTGAATTAAATATCCTGCGATATTATTCACAATTATTTTAATTAATTTGTTTCTTTTTGCTCATCAAGGACACTATCGTTACATAATTTTTTTCTTTCTCTGATTTTTAATAGAATTAGCCAATTGTTTTTTATCTTTTTTTGTTTTTAAGCCTAATGTCTCTATTTCCACCAAAATGGCGTTATTAATTCCTCTTTTAGGTGAAAGCGATTATTGAAAAGGAACAATAACTTGTAATTTATTATTCAATTCTGATTTAGAAGTAGTCGCGATTTCTTTAAATTTGGTATCGACTTACCAAGTCTACTACTACTTGCTAAATAGAATATTAATTTTAATAAAAATCACAAGTTTGTTATTCAAAATACATGTATGTAGGAAATATAATAACCTTAACCTTAAACCTATTTATTTGTAAATTAAATAAATAGCAATTTATTCAGCAAAACATATTGATTTTGCAAAATTTAAATTTATAATTAATCTAAATAAAGTTGCGAAATTTTTACTTCCATCTTTAACGCGAAAATATTTCCTCAGGAATATCATTACCAGCAACATTTTGTTTTGAATTTGGTAGTCCAAAATTTTAATAACCAATAAATTTTTTCACATGTCTGGCAATATGAAATGAGTTGAGATTATTATTCATCAAAAAACTTCAAGCAAAAGTCAAAAAAAATGTTAAAAAGGAATTTCTGTTTTTCAGTGTATTCCCAAAGATTACAAAAATATGTAATCAATTGCTACATTTTATCTTTATCTAATATTTCTAAATAATTAATTATTACTCACAAATTCAATCAGTTGGTGTAATCGCAGACAATTTTCAATGCTATATCAAAATATATGGTGAATTTTTAAAAATTAGAAATTAGATTTATCGGAATATCCTTATTTAACAGTCATAAATACGAATCATGCAGCTATTTAAATTTGCAAAACAAATACATGTACATGTAAATACTGCTTCACTTTTATTGACTTTTGAAGTGATAGTGAAAATACCATTAACCTTCGCAATATCAATGAATTTAATCTGGGTGCATCAAATCACTTTTCTCTTATCGTATTTTTCGCTTTATCTTTACCTCAGCTAACAACATCGACCAGTGAGTGTAATAGTAGTAACGACGAACGAAATTTATTTAATTATGCATATTATCTTCTGCTAGACAGGAGGTCACTTGGATTTTCGGTTGTTTTTGTCACGAGAACTATCTTTATTTTATTTAATAACAGAGATTTCTCTAATTTTCTTATTGCATATCTTGTAAAGTACATAATTTAAACAATAAACACATAATTTCATTATTTCATATAAATAAATTGAAGATTATTACATGAAATTTTGATAATTTATAAAAAATTTTGTTCACTTTGTGAGAACAAGAATACTAATCAAATAATATTCTTAGAAAAGAAATATCATGAAGTAAATTATCATGCTTCTCGGTAATAAATTATTTCTTATTTAATAATTTAGATCAGTTCATAATTTAGAACATAACACTATTTCTAAAATTCTTAAAGAAAAAGAAAAATGACTTTTAATATATAATACTATTTTTTTCAACTAATTTTCATTACAAGCCAGTTAAATTTCTTTTATTAGATCAAGCTATACAATTTTGAGTTGAACAAGTAATTAAAAAAGTCTTTCAATTTAAATAGATTAGTAAATTCAAATAATAAGTTAATTTTTATAATTTTTATTTATAATAAGATAAAGAGTGTGTTTATAATATTATTATCTAAATAATATTCTAAGGTTATAACTAGAAGAATATTTTTAAATAATATATAATATATATAATATAAATAAGATAGATTATTTTTCTATATAATATCTACTCAAACTAATATTATAATTATAATTATTTTAAAAAGAAAATTTATAATTTTATTTATATAAAATTTAATAATTTTAATTTATTTAATAAACTTGTATTTATATAACTATTTTATTAACTTATAATATTATTAAGCTGATAAATTAAAGCTACTTATAATTAAAGAATCTCTAAAATTATATATATTAAATTGAATTATTATAATTCAAAAAATATAAAAAGTTTAATATAATATTAAATTAATAATTATTTTCTAATAATAATATTAATGTTTTCTTATTAATAATAATAATAATAATTAATATTTATATATAATTATTAATTATTAAATATATAATAATTATTATAAATATATATAAATTATATAAATTTAATATTTTTTAAATATAATCTAATATAAAAAGATTAATATATTAATATAAAATTAATAATTACATTTAATAAAAATTATTCAAAATTTAACTAATTTTTATAATTTTTTATATTAAATAAAAAATAATCTTAATTAAATTTTTATACTATTTTAATTTTTCTATTATACTTTAATTTAATAATAAATAAAGTATTATTTTACTAAAAAAACTAAAATAAAATTATTTTTTTAAAAATATTATTATTATTAATTTATAATATTAAAACTTTAAATTATACAAGCAAATTATTTTAAATTTATTAAATATATATTTGAGTTTTATAAAAATTAAATTTATTCAGACTAGCTCTTGCTTTTATTATATCTGTAATTCTTTAGTCCAACTAACTTCTAAATTATATATAATAGTGTTTTTGATTTAAAAGTTATAAATTTATAAATAAAACTATATCTTAGAGAAATGTTAAAGAAATAAGATATCTTTTTAATTTAAAATAATAGTTAGAAAAAATCATTTTCAAGCAGGTTTTATAGAAAATAGATATCAAAACAAGCTATTTATAAATATCAAAAAATCTTTAATTAATATCTCCTAAAGATTATATAATAACTTATAAAATAAATAGAATATAAAAATTTTATGAAAAGAAATTTTTGTATCTCTAATATCTAGTTCCTATACTTATTTTAAAGCTAATAATCTAGAAAATAACTAAAAAAGTTTAAAAATATATTAATATTATTATTCTAAAAAAATTGAGCAAATAGTAAAATTTAACTTTAAATAAATTGAACTTTCTATATTATATATATATACTAATTTCAGTTAAATTATTATTAAATATATATAATTATTAGATCTAAAGTATATTTATTAAATTAATACTTATAAAATAATTTAATTATTTTTTACTATATATTTTAGAAACTAATAACTAAATGAATTTAATATTAATTTAGCTAAAAATTAGTATATAGATATTTCATATCAAGAAGTATATTTCTTATTAAATTAATTTATTCTAATAATAAAACTATTTGAAATTAAATTTTACTAATTAAAAAAATTTTTGTAGATATATAATTTCTTTAGTATGAAAATATCAATATATTTTTTAGACATTTAGTTATTCTTTAGATTATAAGCTTTAAATAAATATAAAAATTAGATATATTTAATAAATATTAAAGATACTAGAATTTATTTTTATAAAATATATTATATTATATTTTTTTGTAAATTATTATATATTAAATTAATTAAATTATACTAATTTAAACTGATTTAAGTTAGTTTATATAGAATAATTATAAATTAGTTAAATTTAATTTCATAAAATCAGATTTTAATAGAACTAAACTGAGTTTTATAGTATTATAATATAATTTATAATCAGTTTTATTAGAATTTAGTTTCTTAAATTGATAATATTCAAAAATAATTCAAAAAATAAATAAAATAAATTATTTATAATAATAAATTATTTTTAAAAATTATATTACTTTATATTAAATTAATTATATAGATTTCTTTCTTAATTTGATAATTATATAATTAAAAATTAAAAGTATATAAAAAAAGTAGTATTTTTCTTAATAAAATAATACAAATATTTAATAATAAAAATTAAAATATTAAATAATTAATATAATATTAAGTAATTATTAAGTTTTTTAAGTTATTTATATATTATTATGGTAAATTGGTAAGTGAAGTTTCACTTTAATTCACCTTAATAATATAGGGTTGGGAGAGACTGAAATAATTAAAGGTAATGAGAGGGGAATTAGACTATAGCTTTTAATAATGACAAAGATTTCTAAGATCTGTGCCAATATCTATAGATATTATCTTTCAAAGGGGAAATAATAAAAGGAAAAAATAATATAAATCAAAAGAATTATTATAATTAATTAATAAAGCTACTATTAATTAATAAAACTAAAGATTTATGATGATTAATAAGTGAAGCCACTATTAATCAAAGAAAACTATA